TTCAGTACATGCTTTCACGCTTCACCAAATCAAGGGCCAATTTAATAAAATCTTCATAACCAAATAATCAAAACAATTGCTTTAAACAAGAGATGACTAAATACCTCTAAAGCTTTGCATACATATGGAATAATAATCACAGTATTTACAAAGGAGTCAAATGGAGTTAAGCACTCGTATCCCACGGAAAGTCCATGTGAGTGTAAAACATTTGGTCTACACAGTCAGCGAACATTTGCCTGCCACAATGTCAGCAGTGACACAGCACTGCAGAATTGTGAGAATAAAACACAATCATTAGCTCACAGAAAAAGAAAAAAAATACTACAGCAAAATAAATATTGTTTTCACACAGCTGTCTTTCCTACGTCCCTTTCCCTCCCAGAACGTGGGCGTTCATAACCTAAAAACAAACATTAGGAAACCAGGAAATCTCCATGGTGATCTCCACTTATACCACCCTAAGAGCAGTGGACTTGCAATAAAACATGAAACACAAACTCAGGAAAAACACAGTTTAGTTAGCACCTCCCTGGAACAAGACCACACCATGCAAGACCTACTCCCTGAAAAGTTTGTCCTTACAAGACACCTTGGAAGAATTACGCTTCCTTCTTATACTGCTCTGAAAAAGCAGCAAGGCTGTCAAAGCAGAGAAAAGCCACGTTTTCCTACAACAGAGTCCACAGGGTAGGGCACAGCTTCTTCCAGAGCAGGACTCCCATTCCCTGTCCCCTTTGTGCCATTCATTTGATACAAAAGGCCAAGAATTCATTGCAGTTCACCTGGCCCAAGGCTACTGATTGCAGGCATTAACTTGCTAAAGGCAGATGCCACTCAAATTAGACCAAAAATGTTCTGAATAGGGTCCCACTACAGGTCATTTTCACTGGCAAAACCCAGCATGGTACACAACTGAGATGACAGCCAGCCTCCTGGACCCTGGGAACTGGCTCTGCAATGGAGCTGCACAAAACACCAGCCAGCCAGATCTCCAGCTACAACTCGGTGAGTCAGGTCCTACCTCCTCTGCCAGACTGTGAAAGGTTGCCGGCTTGTGTGTGTCTGCAATAGGGGAATAGTCTGTGAGTTCGATGCAGAAACCCCCAAACTGCTGCCCAGGGGCTGCGCATGGAGCACGACCGGCTTTTCCCATGGCTTCCCGCTCACGTTTCGATTCATCAGTCTGTAGCGTCTGGATAGTCTCTTCTCCAACTCCTGATACTGCGTCCCTGTGACAGGTTCAGAAATTCCACAGTACAGAGCCATGTTTTTCAAATTCTCTCAATTCACAGGCCTCATTTCCTCCACACAGGAGTTTGCAGCTCACTGCCACTGACTTTTTTTGGTCACATGGCCCTTAGAAGCAGTCCACAAGCCATTAGAAGGAAAGCTACTAACAAAACAGTTGACCTGCCAGCTAGGTCTAACTCTAAAAACCAGGAAAAACTCCTGCATCTTTTCTACTCTTAGTTACTCTTATAGTGCTCCAAAATAATTAAGTACAGCAGCATTTAGGTCTTTCTTCTTTCAAATGTTATTTCCCAAATACTTAGCATAAAATTTTAGGCTGCTAAATCCCCTAGATTGTATTACCACCACAGCTGGCAAACCAGACTGCATGTTCTCTCCCTCGGGAAAGGTTACAACTGTGAACAGAAACTGTTAGAGCCAACACGTGCTTGTCTTCTGTGCAGTCTGGGGACCAGGTACTCAATGCAAAAATCAAGGGACTACAGCTGCTGCTGCACGGAAACCTGCCTCACACACCATAGCTCTCAGACTTGCAGCACACCATTTAAGCTCTCTCTCTCTGTACCATCTTTCAGACCCACACGATTGCCCAGCTTTAGGTTTTTTTTTAGTATTTGTTTCCTAACTCCATCTCCAGTGTTTTCCCTGCACTAAAGCAAAAGGTTCTGGTTTTCCCCAAAATTTGACTGCAAACTTTACACAGTCAAGACAAAACAGTATTCACATAAGGAACTTCAGAAACACATTTTCAATTCTTTATTTTCTACTGGGTGAACAGCCCACTCCAATAAAAAAGCCCACTCCCAAAACAGAGAGAGTTGTCAATTCTCAACGTACATTTTGAAACGTTCTGGAACTGGAGAGTGACGAAACACACAACAGCAATATCATACTCTATCAAAAACTTAATTCAATATGACGAAACCGTTCAAGATTCATCCTCTGATTCACTAACCCTTTACAAACGTCTGGATCACACATCCTCCTTAACACAGGACTCTCTTTATATCTGACTCTTTGCTTTCTTATCACTCACAAAATCTTAATTCAAATTACATACCTGTGCTCAGAACCTAGGACCAACAACCCCCCCATGAAAGTTTAGAGATTTTGCAGTAATTAAAACCCTTTAGCAATAACTTGAAATTCATACCTTCAGCTTGGTTTTGTATTCACACAGCACTCTCTTCCACAAGGCCTCCGCCAGCACTCTCCTGAAAAGCTGCTAATTGCATAACAAATATAGAACACACTTCACCTGTTACTAATTTTTTTTTTCTTAAGGGTGAAGTTTGCCCTTTCAGGGATCCACTTTGGCAAAGTCCCAACATGTTGAATGCTATCAAAATACAGATCAAGAAAACCACCTCTGCTTCACGAAGTTTAGAAGTAAACCTTAAAAGCGCAAGGAAAGAGCCTGATTTTAGTTAGCGTAAGAGCGTAGTCAGCAGAAGCCTAAACTGAGCTAGATTTCAGTAATCTAGAGAACAAATTCTTAACTGTGTAGCTTTGTGTAAATTCCTCTAGCACAGAAAAGCCAGCATGGAAAAAACCACACACAGTAAATTAAAAGGTGTGATGGCACAGTCAGTACAGGGACAAGGGTGATGATCTTAATGATGGGGAGAGGTGCAAATTGGCCTGAAGTGGTAACTTGTGCTCCTCACAATAGCAAAGGGAAAGCCAGTAGACTTCTGGGGCTTCTTGTCCTTAAGCAGCACAGCAGACTGAGATCATGGGAGGACTGATGATGAGACCCAGCCGGGTGCGCAGGTGGCAGCATGGACAGCAGTGATCCAAGAGGTGACCTGCATCCACAGGAGAGCGCGTGACCAGCCTGTGGAGTCAGAGCCACACACTGAAGGAAGCCACTGAGGGCAGAAATACATACAGCTGAGGGATCAGATGGGTCGTCAGCATGGACACCGAGGGATGAATGTGAATGAGTGAAAATATGCCAAAAAATAGTACTGACAAAGACAAGCGATGGTGAGAAGCTGGGAGGATGAAGCAGGAGCACAAAAATAAAACAAAAAACAAAACACCACCAAACACAAACAAACCACAACAGGATAAAGTGGTAAAAAAGGAGGCTACAAGGCCTGGAAGCAGCAAACACCTGCACTGTCTGAAACCAAAACAGGAAATAAGAAGGAAAGCCTCAGCAGGAGGGCAGCTGCGGCAAAAACACAAAGACATTCAGGTCTTTGCAAGCTATTCAAGTGACTGAGGTATGCAGAAGGTGCCCAGGTGCACAGCTGGTATTTAGGAGTTACAGAAAGCAAAAGAAGATAGCAACGGCAGGAGGATGTGAAACACGTGGCAGCAGTTAAATGCAGACACAGGGAGCGGTATGTCATATGAAAGGGACTGGGTGGTGCAGGGATGCAGAATATGAACTTGCTTTAGTGACAGGAGATAAGTCTTACGAGGATAAAGGAAGCACGGACAGCTGATGAAAAGCCAATGAACAATGAGAACAAGAAGCCTGTGAGAGGAAAGGGTATAAGAAAGAGGCTTCACAGATGAGCAACAGCTGACCTAGTCCAAAAATACCACGTATTAGTTCAGCAGCAGTTCCACCTGTCACACTGCATTGCCAAGGTACGGAATGGGCCACCAGACTGGGAGAGACTTACTGCCTGCTAGCAAAGTGCTGCACACACTCAAGAAGTGGCAGGGACTTTCACCCCTATTTCTTGATGACATCATGCAGCTTTTTGAACAACTCACATCTGGAGCAGCCTTGGTTTCCAGACATCGTTCCTGCAGGAACATGTATGCGTCCAGGCAGAGCCTTGCACACACTGCTGCCCTGCACACGCTGCCGCTGCAGCACCTTGGAACACACATGTTGCCAGGCTATACAAGCAATCTCTGAGGTTTGTTTTTTAGAACTGAACTCACACTAGGGCTGGCATCTCCTAGCCCACACTGGAATATCATTGTGCAATACTTCTCAAATGTGTTCCTTGTCTTTCAAAATTCATATTAAAAGGCAGAAAATTTTATTATAAGGGAGAAATTTTTTATCTACAGAGAACAGCTAAAACTGCAAAATACACAGAACATTTTCTCCAAGAAAACCAGAGGTGGATCTCTTAATTTACAGTATCAGACTATGAAAAAATAGTATTCCAAAGTATGAAAGCAGTGTACAAAAATATGGAAAAACATCAAGGCTTTTAATAAAAATAGTAAAGTCTTCAGATTAACTTGATGTCTTGCGATGCTTTGCAGTATAATCACCAAAAATGAAACACCAGAGTCCCTTAAAACCCAAACAGAATCTGAGTTACAAAATAACTTGAAATTCTTAACCTATTTACAACATAAGAATAGAAGGTGCGGGCACAGAAACAAGTTCTCATGTGATAAGGACTTGACTTACAGCCTAACGATCATATATTTTTTGTAGCCGCCCAGGCACGTACTTTCACCATATGGTAAAAGCAATATAATCTTAAATAGATAAAAGAAGTATCTCACATTTATACAGGACAACGGCTTTCATGTATGCAAGTGGCTCACAGGCACCCCAGCTTACTTTATGGATACGTGTGCCAATGCCCTTTGCAATCACATTTCTGCGCATAAGAAACCTTCTCTCGTACACAACTCATCACAGCCTGCAAAAGTGTATCAAAGAGCTCTCTTTGCTGTAGCTGAAAACTATGGGGCATTCCATAAGGATTAACAGCCCCAAGCGCTCAAAACACAGTCCTCAAACAACACTGGGGTTACCGCTTAGTAACGCTTACATTTATGAGGTTTATACTGAACTCTTCCCATAGCTGTAACATTAAAATTTTAAGAAAAAAATACTAGATCAAGCATTCTCAATATCCAGGTTTGGGTTTTAAGAAGTACTGCATAAAGATAAGTTACGTGGCTCATCGTCAGACATCCCTTCTTGAAGTCAGTCCTCTGCTGAAAAATAATCTTCATCTCTCACTTCTCTGTATTGCATCGAGGCCTCGCCCTCTGGTTCAAACCTGAGCATTTTTATATTCAATCTCTCTGCTAGCTTCTGTGCTGCAAGCTTGGCTTGCATTTCCTGTATAAAAGTTAAAAAATGGAAACAAGTTAGAAAAGTGTTCATTTGTCATTTTTATCCTGGTCATGAAAAAAGCTAACATACTAAAGCATAAACTTGACATAGTAATATCAGCCATTCCAGAGTGGGCTTAAGTAAAAGTTTTAGTAACTGGCAAAGACATTTCACATTTCTTTTCACACTTATACATAACTGTGCTATTAATATTTTAAGACCTTTTGAAAAGAGTTGGAATTCCCCATGTGGCAGTCCTCACCTGCGATATGCTAATGTCAGCTTTAACAGAACAAAATCAGCCCACACAAGTGAGCAGCCGTGCACAGTAACCACCTACCAATAGCAATGTTTGTCATTCAGCAGCCTCAGCAAAAAATCTGTCTCCGTTTTACAAATGAATTACCTCCCTTGAGGTGCCAAGATGACTAAATTGGCAAGTGCTTTTAATGCAATAAACAGCAACAAACACTTTTACAATAATGTCTAATTTAAATGTTAGCTTGGCATTACTTGGAAAGTCAAAATCAAAATCCATTACAACCGAATTTGAAGAACCTCAGAACCTGGATTTTTCAGGCACAGCATAAATAAAGAAAAACACAAATATTTGCATATTTTAAGAATAACAAATGCTGCTAGGCCTTCATTTATGCAAGAGCTGAAAACTCTTTAAAGACTAATAGGCAAGGTATACATTTAAATTTCTAGTCAGAGGTGAAGTGACTGCAATGAGGTTAGCGTATCAACACATGAAGAACAACACTAGGTTTTATTTAATGCAGGAATAACAGTTTCAGTACATTATTTAATTACATCATTAGAAGAATCAAATGCAAGAAAAAGTGCCTTTCTTCAAAGTCTGCCCATCTCAATTTTACCATCAAATCCATCAGTATGAAAAGATCCCTTTATGGTTTCTTTTTTTAGGAGTGATCCCAATTACATAATTACTTTTCAGACCAAATCTTAAATTCGTACCTCATAAGCTTCTTTTTGCTGCATCTGAATTGCTATGGATTCCTCTATGGATAATAGCTTAGCAGGGGCATGGTGAAGCGGTGGCAGCCGAGCTGCTGTGATGTCATTCAAATGTTTCTTATCTCTAAGTCGTCTCTCTTCAGTAGTAATTGGAGAGCCAAATCCCCCAGGTGACTGACTGGATGAGGAGCCATGCGATGATCCACTTTGGTCTCCTGATAATCTTGAACAGATAAAACATAAAAGTTGTGACCCAAATTTGCGGCACAAGGTTGAACAACATCAGTTCCAAAACTTGTTATTTTCCACATGTAACACCTGAAAAGAAACCTGAAGTGTTACGGCACCATAAAGAAATAAAAAATAAGCAGCGCTCAGAAAAACTAAAAAGATGTCTCTGCAGAGAGACAACATCACAAGTCACTCCTGGTAGTGAACAAAAACAGTATGCCAATTAATTAGCAAGCATGTAATAGCAGTGCTTTGGGACTCACATGAAGTATAAACTGCTACTGCTACCAGCACAGACAGTGTGAACTGTAATTTCTCTAGAGGTGCAGGAAAAGCAGAAGGCTACCTGCTATTAAAGTTCTACTAGTTCTAGAATCAATCCACAAGAAAACTTTGCCAATTGTTTAACAGTTTTGTAGCTTAAGCTATGAAACTCTATGAATATTCATGACAATTGTTTCCAAGGGGTAGAATCAGACCACCGCTCAATACTGAGGTTCTGTGCAACTCAATGCTAAAGAGCCAACATATTAACCTCACATTAGACATAACTTTAAATCTCTCTAATCACCCCAAGAAAATAAATCCGCCGTGCTTGTTCTGTACCATTCCCAATCTTATACAAGTGAATGTTTTGCTCTTCCATAATACTTACACATTTGGTTTAAATTTGCTTTTTTTTATGACCGGGTTCTTGGCTCTAGACTCTAGAACTTCAATATAATGTGGTGTCTTGGGGTGCAAGCTTCCAAAGATATTGCCCTTATGTTTAGCCACATTCTGCTCTTTTTCCAATACTTTTTCACTATTATTCCCATCTATAATGGTAACTTTTTGAAAAGCATCAACCAATGTGTCTTTACTGTCATCCAAAGTGGCTGTACTTTCTGTACCATCCTCAGTATTGCTCCGAGATACCTGCTGATCATTGGTCAGATGTCTGCTGCTGGCTGACTTGGAGACGACTTCACAAAAAACATTCTGATCTTTTGTAACAGTCTTTACTTTATCATTTTTCCTACGACTCCTTTGATTTTCCAGAGCTGTATTTGCAGTGTCTTGCTCAATACATTCTGCCTCCTGCCTTTGGGAAGAAATCTCTGAAACTTCTTTAATATTAGGGTTTTCATTAGAGACTGAGGAATTGTCATGGTTTGGTGTGTCCTCATTTAAGGGAACTTGCTGTTTGCTCGTATTAATCTCCTCCTGTTTCACCTGAAACTCCAACCTGACAGCAGATAACAGCTCAGCTGTCCTCGCTAATTCTTCCTCTTGTAAAATTGCAAGTGTCAACTTCTTGGCAAAATCAGAGATCTTCTTACCCTTATCTGGAAGCTTAGCAATGAATTTCCTAAGACAAAAAAAAAAAAATTAACAGGGTCTCAACAATCCTATTTCAATCCGATACACAGAACTGTTTTATTAGAAGAGTTAATGCGGCAGGTTTCTCATTCTAACGCGAGTTTCTTATTTGCACACCAGGTCTCCGAAAGAAACGCTTGCAGCCTCAGACGTGCGCAGCAGCGAAGCAACCACTACATTCGCTTCTGCTCGAAGGCGTAACCGCTGCTCTGAACCGCGCAGCGTGCGGGGATGGCGCCGCGTTCCCACCGTAGCGGACACGCAGGGCTTTCAGCCCGCCCTCCCAGGAACCACCCCCGGCTGCCGCCGGGCACGCCC